TTACGATGCCTAGAGTGAGTTTGATAGGGGCCGTATAGTGGGACTTCGGGAAGCTGGACTTTCTTTTCGGCAATTGCAGTTAGAGTGCAAAGAAGTGTAGACACTGTGGTTAGGTGTTGTCAGGCATGGATTCGAGAAGGCCGTACGCAAAGGGCAAGGGGTACTGGACGCCGCCGTAGAACAACAGACCGTGAAGATCGCCGCCTAAGATTATTGGCCTTAAGGGACCGTTTCTCCACTACCAGGTCCATTGCAAATAAATGGTTTGCAGAACATGGAAGACCTATTGGCATGCGAAGTGTTTACCGACGAATGAGAAGTTTTGGCTTGTTTTCATACCGGCCACACTGGGTCCTCCCTTTAACTCGAGAACACCGACGTAATCGCCTTGAGTGGTGCAGACAACGGTCACTCTGGGATCAGGAATGGAACAGTATTGTCTTTAGTGACGAGTCTCGATTTTGTTTAGGCATGCACGATGGTCGTGCCATGGTTAGAAGGCGACGTGGTGAAAGGAGGAATCCACAGTTTTTTGTTGAAAGACATGTTCATCACACTGTTGGAGTTATGGTTTGGGGTGCTATAGCTTATGGTTCCAGGTCACCTTTAATCTTCATCAGAGGTAACATGAACGCGCAGCGTTATATCCACGAAGTTCTAGAACCCCATCTTTGACCCTATCTTGACACCCTGGCAGATCCAACTTTCCAACAAGATAATGCCCGACCACATGTTGCAAGAGTCACAATAGACTTCTTTCAACATAATGATGTCACATTGTTACCATGGCCACCAAGATCTCCCGACTTATCCCCAATTGAGCACGCGTGGGATACGATGGGTAGGAGATTGCTCAATTTGCAACGTCCTCCTCAGACTCTAGAAGCACTTCGAGAGGAGAGGAATGAGATACCACAGGAGGACATTGACCACCTGATCAGAAGCATGCCTAGGCGCGTTGGAGAATGCGTAGCACATCAGAGTGCATCCACACATTATTAAAGGTCAAAGAGCTTTAAAGCAGTGCAATCATTTTGAAATTTTTATCATTTACTTATTATGCTTCATTAAGTACTTGTACAAAATTTTATTAAAATAAAAACATTTAAACTGGGTGTTCGGATTTATATGTCACTTAGTATATTAATTAGCTTCCATTTTTTTCCTAAAACTTCAACACCACGAGTTTTTGCAATGAAACATTTTTGGACCATAGTTTATTAAGCAAACTAACATTAATTATTCATGTAGATTGACACCCTTAAATATTCGCGTATCATTGAGGAACACCCTGTGTATACAATCAGTGACAGAAGTGTTACACCCAGGACAAAATAATTTCCTCAAATTGTTTCTTGGCAACATAATGACTATATTTAAAGCATCGCAACGATGTCAATGTTTTATCTTTGTTATTGTTTACCTTTGTTAAAATGTTATCTCTTAGTTTTTGTAAAGAAAGCAGTTTCTGAGAGCCGAGTAGTACAGATATTTTTATTTATTGCATAAGGTGCCACAACCAGACATCAATCCTCTCATTTTGTCGATGCCTAGACGTATACAGGACTGTATTTAGCTGCGGGGTCGCCCAACACATTATTAATTTTTTTTTCTTATTACTTGTCAACAAAACTTCGTTTCATTCTTGATGAAGACTATCCCATTGCCAAAAAATCAGGTTGGAGAACACTTCTGATGTCACAGACTAAATTTATAAGGTCGATCATGACGCAACCGCTAAAAAATATCGCCAGCTCGTCATCGCGTCAGATGACCCGCTGCCGAAAAAGTCCGAACAGCCAAGGGCCAGACGGCCGGTCGTACCGCCTGAGCGTCGTTTCCCACGTGCTATTTCGTCCTCGCGACGACGCGTCACGCCGTTGTATCGCTCTCCCTCTCCGGCGAGCGTCCTCGATGTTTTTTCCTGCCGGACTTTCAGCGAATTCGCTGGTACTGTTTGGGTCGCGTCGCTCCTCGCAAGCTCGCATTCAAAGTCGATGTCCTCCGCATCGGCTCGGGCCGTACTGCTTGTCGCTGACGACTGAACGCCTATTGGTCAAAAGGCAGCGCCACTCGCGCGGCGTTGCCAAAGCCTACTTTATCGCCGTAGACAGTTGACAGGTGCGACAGGCGTCAAGCAGGTTTTCTCCAATGTTCCTTAGAATCCCATTATAATGGTCTGAGCTGTAGGCTACTTTTACTGGCAAGGAAGTTCTGTCATCGCCAAGAATTTCGAAGATGAGATATTATGGTATAAAAACCTTGTCTATCAGTCTATCTGCCGGTCTTTTTTTTTTTTTTAATGAGGGGGGAATGCGTTTACGCACCATACCATAGCCCGAGCTACGGCGTGTGTGAGGCTCCAGGGTCTTGAGGAGATCACCTAATACCCACTAAACCTTAAACCTCCGCGTGGCCCGACTCATCAGCGTCTCGGTAGGCCATGTGTTGTGCGTGACCTGCGGTCTGCTACAACGTCTCCTCATGTGTTTCAGTCTCTGGGAACGCCGGGTTGGTTCCCTTTACCTCGCACATTCTATTGATATCGTTAAGCGATCATCGATAGAGGGTCTGCTAGGTTCTCTTGAAACTCTTGTTTTCGAAAAATCAAGAGTTTCAAGTCCTCTTACCAATATGTTGTTTCTGATCCTGGTCCTGAAGGGTCCTGGTCCTGGTGGGTCCTGGTCGTGGCGGGTCCTGGTCATGGTGGGTCCTGGTCCCGGTGGTTCCTGGTCCTCTGCATCCACGCCGTGGGGGGGGGGGAGCAACCGCGAGTTCTCCTAGTCTCCTAGTCAAGGTTCCAGTTAGCGGGTGCCAACTGGGACCTTGGTCTGGGGTACCTGGTTCTGCGGTTGCGAGCCCTCTCGTCCGGATCGTAGTCCATGAGGAATCGTAGCTGCTCGTTCGGGTGGTCCTGAGCTTTCTCGAAGGTCTTCTCCGCTTTTTTCCTCATATACTCGTGGATGGTGTCCCAATGCAGGTCCCTACGCAAGGTTGAGTTTCTTACGTAGGATGGTGCACTGGTGGCGATCCGGAGTAGCTTCATCTCTAGAGCAGCAAGTCGCTTGCGGTAGCTGGGGGCAGCGTACCCCCAGACCGCGGAGGCGTAAGCGAGCTGAGGTCTGGCGATGGCTTTGATCAGCCGTAGCTTGGTCGCTAGCGGCATCCGGCTGTGTCTACCCAGTAATGGGTAGAGTTGAGCCATGGCTGCTCTGGTCTTTGCGATGACAGCTTCTATGTGGGCTTTCCAGGTGAGGGACTTGTCAAATACGATCCCCAGATATTTGACTTTGTCGCTCCACTGGATATCTTCGTCGAAGATGGATGCTTCGAGAGGTCTTGCAATCCTTCTTCGTTGGATGAAGATTGCCTGCGTCTTCTGGACGTTGATGCGGATTTTCCATTTCACGCACCAGTCCTGGATGTGGTCCAGTTCATCCTGTAGTCTCCTACGGATGATCTCGGGTCGTCTATGCTTGGCGGCTATAGCAGTGTCGTCTGCATATAGGGCCAGCATTGTGTCAGCTGTCTTCGGCACATCGTGAGTATAGATGTTGTAGAGCAGGGGGGCTAAGGCTGACCCCTGGGGCACGCCTGCTTCCAGCTGTCGTCTTGTTGAATGGCATGTACCAATCTTCACCGTGAACCATCTTTGTGTTAGATAGCTCTGGATCAGTTGGCACATGTTCGCATCGATTCCGGCGGCTTCCATTTTGGCGATGAGTCCATCGTGCCAAACTCGATCGAAGGCTCGTTCCACGTCCAGCAGGATGAGACCGGTTGCCTCCTGGAGATTGAAGCCGCTGGTGAATCTGCCGGTCCGCCAATTATTGGCCCTTCTATAACACGGAAAGTACCGGACGGATTTTGATGGAATTTTCACAGAAGGGTAGTACTATATCTATGATCTAGAGGTAAGAAAAGAGAAAATAAGAGTTGCTCAAACGTCATGTGACATCAAACAACAAAACAGTTTTTTTGTAATGGTTGAAAATTGGGAATGGGTGGTTGGAGGTTTTAATGGGTCCTGGGGTTTGTAAGCGTTGCATCAGTGAACGACATAATACATGCTCGATATTTAGAGTCTATTTATCCAGAATTGCGTGGGGGTCAATCTCCATCCTTGATGTAATTTTCCTATATACAGGGTGTTGAAATTTTCGTGGAGAATACTTCGAAAAACAATAGAGTCATTTAAAACTACCTACCGTGTTGTTTTATTTCCATATGCAGAACTTAAAGGGCATCCCTCGTACTAAGCACCAATAGGCATTTTTGATGTAGAATATTTTTTAACAATTCTACCAGTGGCGTTCGTATAGGATGTATACTGGAGATTTTTTCAAATTAAAAGATTTTTCAAATCCTCATTGATTTTGCAATAAATCTGACGTCTTGACTTTCTCCATTTTCGAGTAAAAAAAAAAATAAATACCATTTTCATGTTTCGTGGTATAACGAAATTATTTTCAAGGCTGGTGCTGAAACTTCAACAGCGCACTCAAAATGCTTGTGATTTAATTCGTCGACACCGGGATTTCATTTTTGAATCTTGTGATGAGTCGTGGATTCTCCAAACAAGATTATGCGTTAATCGAACAAATGGGTACAATTTTCAACAGTTTTTGTAAAAACGGTATCCATTTAACTTGATAATGATTTTTTTAAAATAATCTAAATTGACTCTCTTATCATTCAACTTTTATAAGGACGATTTTTTGTATATGAACTCCTTTTTGACGAGTCCTACAAGCACTTAAAATAAATGACTCAACTTTGAAAACACCCTGTATAATATCTCATATTGTCGACTACAGTACTTTCTCGCCAGTGGCGTGAGAGGTAAAAAAACCGCACCGTTCTCGGTTATATGAATGTTCGTCGGCGATTTTTCCCCAGACTCGCGGCTTCTTCCGGCACCGCGGCAACGCCGCGCCGAGCACGTCTTCGCCGGCACCTTGTGCCTAGCCGGCGCACCGTTCGGTGCTTCAGTCACTGACCACATCGTCACACTAGCGCGCGATACATCACCGTCCGCTACCTCGTTCATCCGGCACTCACCGACGGTACGTCATCGATCGCCGCACCGTTCAGTGCCGTTATGACAATAATGTGAGTCGGGTCGAAGAGTGCCGTGGAAGCGTCCGTGTCGTGCGTCATTTGTTTCGAGTCAGAGCGCAGCATCTAGTCGGCCCTTTTCGCGGAAACGACATGCTTTAGCGCCGCGGCATCGCAGGCTGATGACATTCCAATCGTTCTTCCGTCAAAGGTGAGGAGATGCGACGATCGTGAAGGCGGCACGTGCACTCGTTTGTTTTTATGATATTTCAGCTGTTTTATACGCGTTTCTTACCAAAAATGTCATTAAAAAAGCACGACAGGCAATTAAGTTTGACATAACGAAGCGGTAAGATGGTAGCGAAAACGTAAAAAGCAAATTGAAGGAAGGTTATTTATTTATTTTATAAGTAATTTAAAGTACATACTGCCCTGTCAAACAGGGTGGGCCAACGAAAAGATGATTCTCCTGGTACATTTAGGAAAAACGCCCAAAGTCGAAGTCAATTTTGATTTCTAAAATACAGGGTGATCTAATAATAAGATACTGCGTCGACTTTCGATTTTTAAATCGAAGTCCTCTTTTTTAATTTTCAGATTGCCCATGAAGTTTGTACATACAAAAGTTGATAAAATCTTCATTGAAAATCTCGAAATTAAAAAAACATGGGGTTTTCCATGGTATACTTAAGTTTTTAAAGATATACAGTGGACCTCCGGTAATCCGACAAACATTATGCAGGGCAGTGTCGGACTATCGAATTTGTCGGATTATAGAGCTCTGCCTAAGACCCCGGAATTGTTTACAAAAGAGTACCTTGTAATCCGACAAATTACATATCCAATGGTAAGATTATATATGTATGTTATGTATATGTATGTACTTTGAAGTACAAATCATACATAGTTTATGTATGTCGCATTTAGTAAATTAAATAACAATAGAGAGCTTACGTTTTATTATAAATTAAGCATAAATGCACATACATATGTACCAAAATAATCAAGAATTATTAATCAAAATCATTAATGAATTTATCAAATTATGAAGCTTGGAAATGTTCATCAATTTTTGTTTGTTTAAGGTTGTTATAACGTGAGATCAGAGCTTTGTCTCTCAGTCTTCTCAAAAGTAAAAGTTCGTTGTAGGATGTACCATTCTCTTCAGCCCACTGTAAACCTAGCTCCAAGGCGTTAATTGCGTCTTGTGCTGTGACTTGTGGAGCAGTTGCAATCACGTCGTCGTTATTTTCCTGATTGTTTGTTGTATAATTAGAAATCTCTTTTATAATCTCTTCGTCAGACATTTCAAGAAAAACATTTTCCTCTTGATCCATTCCATTTCCAAGACGATTTAACAATTGATGACGGTAACGCATTCTTTCGTCCAGGTACGGATTTTTCGTTACAAGAAACGAAAGTTTTGTTAGGCATCACACGCCAAAAAAGCCCTGATTCGTCTGCATTGTACACCTGTGACGAGTCAAGATTTAAATCGTTCACCTTTTGCAAAAATCTTAATTTAAAAGGCTCTATGCAGGTGGCATCGTTAGAAAGTTTCTCTCCTGTAATAGTCATTAAACGTATGCCATGCCGACTTTTAAAACGTTCTAGCCATCCTTTGCTGGCCACAAAATCATCTTTTTTTGTTATTTCCTTATAAAAAAACTCAGCTTTCATGGCCAACATGGGTCCTGAAATTGGTGCATGCCTATTTCTTTCCTGAAGAAACCACATGTACAAAGCTTCTTCCACTTCTGGATGTTCAGCTTTCTTGAGTGTCTGTCTCTTGCCTGGCCCGCAGTCAGTAGTTGACACGGACTTCTTGATCTTGTCGTGGTTTCTTTTAATGTCATAAATTGTAGATCGGCATACGCCGTATTCACTTGCTAAACTACTGAAACTTTCATTGCGATTTAAGCGGTCTAAAATATCACATCTTTCTTTAATTGTCAATGTTTTGTGCTTTCGCTTCTGAGTTTGTGATGACATTACTAGGTACTATACTTAATACACAATGAATAAATAGTAAAGAATGAACGCACGCTAGGCCGTACCGCTATCACAAGTAGTCAAATTCAAACTAAGTAAAACAATGCTTACGCGTCGAGCACGATAGCGATGGCGCGTACAAGTTCTAACCTTTTCAAATCTGCGTGACATTAGCGAATACGTATGTATGTAATACATATTCAAAGACATGTCGGATTACAGGGGGCGCCGGATTATCGGAGATTCACTGTACTCTTTTCACTGAATCAAAGCAGTTACGTTATATTTAGTAAATTTGAATGCCAACCTTAATGCAAAGCAGATCCTAAGTTTGAGTTTCCCGGGTACATTTACGTTGGTGACAGTTTTCTACGTTGTGACATTGTCGCAAAGCTAGTCAGGTATAATAATTCCGCCAACAACTGTTGTTAACTTGTGGTTTATTTTTGTTCTTTTTGCCTCAATATTTGTAGTTTTATTTCATAAAAACAGTTTTTTCAAAACCTTGAGGTGTTTTTTAATCATCGAAGGTAAGACTGTAAAAAGTCCTAGGATCTAGTAGTTTTAATTGACGTGGCAACCATGTGCGTCACTGTCATTATTTGACGTTGTCACGTAACTGCTTTGATTCAGCGAATACACGGTAGCTGCAATGATCAAAATGTTAATCTGGAGATTCCAACGATACACTAGAACAGAAACCTCGATCGGTCATTGTAAAACACAATTTACGTTAAATTTATTAAGATCGTTACATGTCATTTATATCTAAGGAACTATTCGCGTACTTTTATAATGAAATTATGCAAAAACAGTTACCAGCAGATGACACGCCGTCGTATCAGACACCATCTGTTATAATGTATATTCTATGATCATATCTTTAACACTTGAGATAAGTGTGTATATACAGAGTGTTTGTTGTCTGGTGTCCACAATGTCAATCGTTGACGAGAACAATAGACACTTAAGGCCGTCTGTCACGATACGCAATTTAATATGTAACGGGTGATTTTTTAAGACGTGCCTATAGGATTTGATTTTCAAAAAAAACACAAAAAAATTGAAAAAACGATTAAATCTTTATTTGAGTCGTTAGAACGGTCGATATAATTTAATGTTTAAAGATTATTTCATGTAAATGTTGACCGCGGCTCCGCTTTAGATGGCCCATGCGCAAGGTCCAATTTTGGCACACTCTCTCCAACATATCGGCCGGTATCTCACGAATAAATGCTTCAATATTGGCTTCCAGTGCGTCAATCGTTGCTGGTTTATCCCTGTAGACATTAGCCTTAACATGGCCCCACAAGAAATAGTCCAACGGCGTTAAATCACACGATCTAGGCGGCCAATTGAAGGCCCCCAAACTGTTCACCGAATTCGCCTCTCAATAGGGCCATTGTTTCGGGTGCGGTGTGGCATGTGGCACCGTCTTGTTGAAACCACATGTCAGCCAAGTCCAGCTCTTCCATTTTGGGCAAAAAAAGTTTGTTATCATCGCACGGTAGCGCTCACCATTCACAGTTACGTTCCGGCCATTGTCGTCTTTGAAGAAGTACGGCCCGATGATGCCACCGGCCCATAATCCACATCAAACAGTGATTTTTTCGGGATGCATTGGTAGCTCTTGCAATGCTTCTGGCTGGTCTTCACTCCAGATGCGGCAATTTTGCTTGTTAACGTACCCATTCAACCAGAAATTAGCTTCGTCGCTGAACACAATTTTTCGATAAAAATGTGGATCTTCCTCCAACTTCATTCACCGAATGGGAAACTTTGTGGGAGGTCGTGTGGCTTCAATTCTTGCACCAGCTGTATCTTATAAGGTTTTACACCCAAATTCTGTCGCAAAATGTTCCACGTAGAGGCCCAATTGCTGCGAACGGCGGCGAATCGACATTTCACGGTCATCACTAACACTGGCGGATACAGCCGCAATATTTTCTTCAGTCCTCACTCTACGTCTGCCTCTTTTAATCGAGCATGAATTTTGATAGTAAAATTCAATAATTTGCAAGCGTTGTTCGTTCGTAAGTCGATTCATGGTTAAATTATAGACCAAACTGAACAAGTTTGACAATGACACAAGACACGATTCACGCGTCATCTGTCAAAAACAGTGTTGCCAAAAAGATACTAGCAAAAAAATCACCCATTACAAAATGAGAATAGTATCAGATAGCACTAAGTTCATAATTTTCAAACCTAGTGCAACATTTTTTAAGCGGTTTTTATTAATTTGATACTAAAAGTGCGCAGAGAAGAACGTAGCAGCAGTGGAAGGGGAAAAATGTCGTCCATTTATCAATTCCGACCAAAAAATTAAACACAATCACCACACCAGGCATAAACTAAGAGAAACTGTTGTACCTAATTCAAATAAAGCTAATAGGTATATATTAAATTCTAACAAAATTATTTCATCTAAACAATCTGGATTTCGACAAGGCCATAATAGAGCTTCGGCATTCTGCGATTTAACAGACACTATTACAATGGTGCTTGATAACAAAAAAGTAGTAGCTCCCATACTTCTTGACTTTACTGAAGCATTCACTTCTTGAGTCGTCAGTCGTCCCTACAATTGTAGGGCGCGTTTATGGCCTCCTTGATTGTCATAGTTTTCTACTTCTCCGTGTCAGCGCTCTATTTTGAGGTTATGTCACAAACATCTATTCTCATCAAATTGTGCTTGCTTTTGAGTTTTATAATGTTTTTTCAGCCTGAAATTTCTTACAATTTAAAAGGAAAACATATCTTAACAATAGGAGAGCGCTGACGCTGACACGGGACGAGTATAATCTAGAAATTTTTGAAGGAGAGAAAAGAGTATGACAATCTAGGAGGCCATAAACGCGCCCTACAATTGTAGGGACGACTGACGATACGGGCCTAAATGCAGTTATCATGGATTTTCTGCAAAAAGCTCTTTCGTTTATTCAAACCTACCTTGAAAATCGGTTCCAAAAAGCTCGTCTAAGTTAACAGTACTCCCGCGCAAAAATGCGTACCACAGGGATGTGTCTTAGGACCCCTGCTATTTTCATTATACAGGGTGTTTCAGTTTATTGTTGCATAACTTTAAGATTCGATAGAACTTTTAAAATTAATGCATAAAGTCTATATAAATATGGGTCGAAAAATGCGTGGCTTCCGAAATACAGGGTGTTTAAATTTACTTTCTAAAATAGTTTTTTTTTAAATATTTCGAACAAT